AGATGGGTGTGAATGTTTGGGTTTTTATTGTAGCCTTTACAGTATGTTACATCATGACACACATTTGGATGGAAAACTGAGTTTCATGTAGATTGACTAATGACTATATTATTGGTTTTATATGTCACAGTATAAAGTGAATTGAGTTTGAGAAGTTGTAAACATGTAAAAAAAAGTTCATTTTTTATAGCATCAAAAAGAAATAGTGCTCAAAAAGTACAATCACGAAAATTACTTACGTGATTACTACGTCTCTGCTATACTGCTGAAAGATTCAAGAAAACGGTTCCACTTCAGAGTTCTTGAGTATCTCAGCTGTTTCCAACAATTAAAACCATACATACAGTTCCTTGCGAATGTATTCATACCCCTTCATTTTTTTCACATTTTTTTCACATTTAGTTTTGTTGCTGCCTTATGTTAAACTGCTTTAAATGACTTTTTTCCACATGAATCTACACTCCATACACCATAATTGTCAAGCAAAAATGCAGGGTTTTAACATCTTTGCAAATTTATTAAAAATAAAAAACTAAAATGATTCCATTGCATTATCTGGGACAGTTGAAATTTAGCTCAGGAGCATTCATATTGCTTGTAGATATAACTACACTTCGAGTGAAGTTAACCTGTGGCAATTTCAATTTAATGGGTATGATTTGGAAAGGCACACACGTCTTAATAAAAGGTCTAACAGCTGATAATGCATATCAGAGCAAAAACCAAGACCTGAGGTCAAAAGAACTGCCTGTAGAGCTCAGAAACAGGTTTGCGTCAAGCCACACATCTGGAGAAGATTTCAGAAAAAAAATCTGCTTCATTGAAGGGTCACGGAAGCATGTAGTCTCTGTTACCCTTAATGGAAGACGTTTGAAACAACCAGGACTCTTCCTAGAGCTGACCTCCTGGCCAAACTGAGCAATTGATGGAGAAGGGCTTTGGTTTTAGTGGTGACCAAGAACCTGATAGTCACTCTAGTTGAGCTCCATGATCATATGTGGAGACAGGAGAAACCTACAGAAGGACAAACATCGCTGCAACACTCCACAAATCCAGTCTTTATGGCGGTGTGGCAAGACTCAATCCTCTCTTCAGTTAAGACACATGAAAGCACACTTGGAATTTATAAAAAAAGCACCTTCTCTGGTCTGATGAACCTCAATTCTAAGCATCATGTTTGAATGAAACCAGCTCCGCTCATCACCTGCAGAGTACCATCCAAAAAGTAAAGTGTGCTGCATGAGGCTGTTTTTCAGCAGCAGGGACTGAGGGACTCTTAGAGTAGAAGAAACGCTCAATGCAGCAAAATATAGAGATAGCCTTAATGAAAACCCAGTCCAGAGCATTCATAACCTCAGACTGGGCAGAAGGTTCACCTTCCAACAGGACAATGACCCTAAGCACACAGCAAGAGTGGCTTATAGACAACTGTGTGAATGTCCTTGAGTGGCCTAGCCACGGCCTGGGATTGAACCCAGTCAAATATTTCTGGAGAAACCTGAAAATGTGCATCTGCCCCCCATCCAACCTGACAGAGCTTGAGAGGGGAACAGGTGAGGTGAAGAATGGCAGATAATTGCAAAATGCTGATGAGCAAAGCTTGTCGCATCAAACAAAAAAAAAAAGACTTGAGGCTGTTAAGGTGCTTCAGCTAAATATTTAGTTATGCAGTGTACTTATTTCAGTTTTTTATTTTTAATAAATTTACGAAGTTGTGACAATTCTGTTTTTGCTTTGCCAGTATGGTGTATGGAGTGTAGATTGATGTGGGAAAAAAGTCATTTAAAGAAGTTTATCATAAGGCAGCAACATAACAAAATGTAAAAAAAAAAATGAATACTTTCGCAAGGCACTGTATATGTAAAAATGTTTACATTAACCTGGATATCAATTTATAGTCATAAAATAAATAAGCAAAAATAAGTTTAACTGATTTTAATTAAATGTGTCCCACATTTTGCACAATATATGTGTTATTTGCATATAAATACATATCTAAAGGTTTTTTTCACAAAAAAATGCCAAATTTAATTTGTAAATATTAAATATCATTTAATATTCATTGCTAGAGAAAATAAAACCATTTTAACCTGAGGTTGATCAACAGTTTCTAAAGGTTAAGCACCTTTTGGACCATTTTTTGAAAATAAAAAAAATAATGAAATTTTTCTTAATTTCATGCTCCATTTTGTATAATTTGTGGAAAGTGCCACTTGTACTACTATATACAATTTACGAGTGAACAATATATTTTGATAGACAAATTATCTGAGGAGGCTCTAGGTCAATGTTCTCCTCTCCTGCTCTTGATGAGAACATTGAGAAGATGTTCAGTCATCTCTCCAGCACTGGTGATTCTGAATTTTTTTTTTTCGTTTTCGCTTTTTTACGTGGTACAGAACATTAGGAATGCCTAATTATGCAGTAATATAAGTTATAAGATTAATCAAATATAAGCAGAAGATACGATGAGATTACATCAGGAGCCTTTATTTGCAATTTCCCACAAACTGGTGTCATAACAGTTTAAATCAAGGCCACAATATATAAAATGTACTAAACACACAGTTATGGGAGCATGTCCGTATCTTCTAGAAGCTTCAATCCCCTTTGAGCGTGAGGCTCGTGGTAAGGAGGCACGACAGTAGGATTTGGCAGTTATTGGGAAAAGCTGAGACCTGTATAGCGTCAGCATGGACTAAATCAGCAGCTGCCATCGCTAGTAATCCCACCTCTCTTTTTGTTGGGGACCAGGGTCAGCACGGTAGAAAGGGCCTGACCTGCAAGAGTCAATGGAGTAGAGGCCTAGCAGGACAGAATAAAGTGCTGGGTCAAAGCTAGAAGCAGCTAGAAGAAGCACTCGACTGCCTGCAGAGAAGACAATACTGTTGTAGACTTATGTAATACACCTGCCAGCTGCAACCAGCTTAGTGAGGATGTACCCAGGCATTTCACATTTCAGTGCCTCATGTTATCCTGTCCTCATTTTCCGTTTGCGAAACGGCAGCCCTTAGGTTAAAAAATAAGATAAGATCTTTCGGCATGATAACCCAAAGCAAACTAGCAAAACAACTATACAGTGGCTGACAGGAACGAACATGAATGGTCTTGAGAGGCCTAATCACAACACTGACCTAAATACAAATTTAAACTTGAAACAACTTCTGACAAATGTGTTTAAAGATAGAAATATAATATAATATAAGTATATGCTGTAATGTGTCAATAATACTTTAAAATAAATGTTATTTAAATATGTATTATAAAGTTAATTTTAATTAGTATTATTATAGTTAATTTACATTCATTTATATACATTTATGATAATACATATTCATTTATTTGTATTTATGTTTTTTTTCTTCATTTAATTCACTTAGATATTGCAAGAAACAATCTGAAAATAAAACTGGAGCCTTGAGCTTTAAAGCAACAAAAAGTGCACCTTAAAAATGAAAGTGTCTTTTGATAAATGTAGTTAAAGAGAAACCTAGAGAGAGGTGGAGAGACATTCTCCTGACCCCTTAGGCTCTGTCCTGTGCGTGTGAGCCTAAAATTCAGTCAATAAACATAACACATAAATGACGCAACTACCATGGATTTTCTAAATATGTCACAACTGAGTTGCAAATCAATAATCAGTTTGTGGTCAAAATGAATACGTAACCTCACACACTTACCTCAGGCAATGCAATTACCCATTTAAAAATGACCCTAGATTAAAATATGTATTGGCCTGGCTTCAATTAGGACATTTAGTCCAATTTTTATAAACGTGCCTTAGAAAAAAACATTACTGGTGTGCATCTTGGGACAAAACAAGGGCACTGACATATTTTAAGATCAATCAGTGCAAGTTTCTTTCAGTTGAAACAGCTCAGACTTACATTTAGGTCTGGGACTAGGCTTAAGCCTTGTCTGTGAAACTGGGGGGTTGCACATTAAATAAAACATCTGAGCAATAAGTGGGCATAAAGGCATTTCAGTGTCAGTAATGATTATGAAAAATCTAATCCATTAGACGAAAATATGGTAAGAAACTGAATTCATAGACTATTAAATTAATTAAAGTCACAGTTTTTTGTATCATGACTTAGAACTTGCGGTAACAATTTTCTTTATTTTGGCCTGTTCTAACATGTATCTTAGTTTATAGGCTAGTATTTTTTAACCAACCCTGCTGGTCAAAGTTTATTACCTCACTTGACCCCAAGGTCACTTCTTGACCCTAGTGCCACCTGATAAGCTGAGGTCAGAAGGTTAATCCCTATAAACCAAGCATGGCGTCTTGCAGTCCAACACTTTGAGGTTTCAGCCTTATCTTGGTAATCATCTGCATCTAAAAGTAACCGCAATGTAAAGGGTAAAGGACTAAATGTGAAAAAGAAAAAAAGAGAGATTCTGCCGGAGGATGTTCTAAATTAGATTTGTGGTATTTGTGGCACTCTAAATTAAAGTGATATGTGTGTAAAGAAGTATCACCTAAAACTCTTCGTTGACACTATTTGTGTAACTGCTAGAACGTCCTGTGGGTGCACTGTTTTTAGTGAGAGACCAGGACTGAAGTTGTTTTAAATGTGTCCATATTTCAGATCTTGCTTATGTTTTAAATTCTTAGTAGCAGCCTGTTTGCGTTGATGCTCTACTATCAGCGTAGTTTTGTTATAAATAAAACAGAAGTACAGCTGAAGTTATGGATGGAGGTTTATTTATTTTCAAGGAAGAACTAAGACAAAAGTTAAAACCATTATGAACATACATTTCAGTATCTAATGTTCATAATGATCTCTGAAATTAAATCACAGTGAAATAAGACAAAATATACCACTGTGGCAAAATAAACTCAAGAAATATTGCACTTAATTTCTAAAACACCATATTTCCACTGAAGGTGTTTCCTGACAGAGTCAAGAGTTTAGCTTTAACACTGGACTACACGGAAGGCCAAGCGTTGGACTATAATATTGACCAACCACAAAAAGAAGCACTTTTCTTTTTGCATTTAAGCTTATTCTTTCTTTAGTGGCCAATTTTGGTTCAATTTGAAACTATAAAACACAACAGAGAAGCAGATCCTTTTTTTCTTCAGTTCTGAAATGGGTCATCCATTTCTCTAAGGTGTGCTGCAGCTATTGTTCCCATAATAATCGAGACGACAGGATTTATCTAATGGTCGTTTGCCTGTAAAACAAACACTGAATGCCCAACAGTAATCATCAGAACCAATAACTGAAAACAAATCCAAAACCCGTTCAACTCAAAAGTGGCATGATCAACGCTCGCTTTGAAGGACTTTTTGGTTTTCCCTTTTTGTCCTTTTAAACTAAACAGCAATCTCTAAAACTAAAAGAAAATAGGATGATGATTAGTGAGGACAACATAAATGATAAAGCATGTTAAGATCAGTTCTTCATCAAGGCCACTGTTAAGACCCCTTTGCTCCCCCAAAAAATGCCCTATCATTAACCCATCATGTTACAGATGAACCTACTGTATAATGCACAAACTGTGCATGCACACATATGACTAATTCTACAAATTAAAACACTACTTCAACTATCTACATTGGTAACGGTTTAAACTTTCTCCAGACCTCGACCAGACATGAGCAGATTTCTAGTTTCAATTCAGAAAAGAATAATGAAAGCCAAGCATGATCAGAGCCTAAACTACTTCTGTAGTTGAATGAGTTTTAAAAACAAATGTACAACTCATTTCAACTGGATTTGGACATCTCTGGATAGGATCCAGAGTCCTTGTGTTGCTTTACAGCTTGGCTTTTCAAGCATCTGTGCCATCCTTTGGGTCATATCTGGCTTCACTGGTCTGCAGAAACATTATGGCTGCTGGTGCAGCAGGACAAAAAGGGAATGTCATAAGTCTTTGAAAGCTGCCTTGCATCTTTGTGCATACCTCCTCTCTTTATTGAATGTGTTTTTCAATATTGAATCTGATATTCCTTCTATAGACTTCTTCCTTGAACTGAAACAGTGCAACCACAACATAATCTACACCATTTTTGTTTTCATCATTTGGCAAGTGAGAAGATCACCTGAGACTGAGTGTTTTTTTTTTCAAGCAGTGCAATCTTAAAGCCTGCACTGCTACACACTATAAACAGAAAGGCAACAAACTTTTCAGGCTGCCTGCCCGGACCCCACCCTGTTTTATCTCTCCGCTCTGATCACGCACATGAGCGGCAAGAGCTGGACTGTTGCTCCTTGATCAAACAACATGTGCAACAAATTTAACACCAAGCAAACCCTGTTTGGCTTAAAGGCATTCTACATTTAGAACTGAAAATAAAGTCCATGTGAACAGAAGAAAATAAATCAAAAGCCACACTCGGGTTATGAGTTGGTGTGGCAATGTCGCAAGAGCGTCAAAACAGCATGTTACCAAGAGTAGTTTATCGACTGAGGAAACACAATCAATGAACACTACAGACCTCAAAAAGAGCTTAAACAAGATCAGTGCATTACGTCAGCCTGTTATTCCTCGGAATCAGTTCTCTGTGTTGTTTGTGGCTCAAGCGAGAGCCTGCAATTGCTTAGTCCAAAAGGCTGAAAATAAAATGAAATAAAACAATCAGTGATCTTAAAACCCAAGTGAGGATAAGGAACATGTGCAAAAAAAAAAATAATAAAAAAAATAACTGAGACAAGAGGATGACACGTTTCTCAGCTGTACTGTGAATGGTTGTGGTTGTAGTGTTTTCTTGCATTTCTCTTCAGATCTCGGGCAAGGCCAGCATGTTCTTTGTCAACCTTTACTGAAAAGCATGAGAAAAGTGACAACTTTGACAAAGCTCTGCAGGCTTAGTCCGACGGGGCGTGTCCCATCCACGGGGGCCGAATATCTGGGTCGAGTAATTTGCCAGTGACTTCCTGCACCCTTACTTCTGGATTTTCCCATAGAGGTTTGTTTTCTCTCTGTGGTGACAGCAAAGTGAACAATTGCTGTCATCGGGAGATAAACAAAAGTGAAAACTCCTAGAGCCCAATCACTTTGGACTCATGCCATGCATTTCTCAGCGTGACGGGCAGGTGTCGAGTCTCTGCTCCGCGGCCGATGTGTCTTGATCTGGATTTGGATCAATCTGATGGAGAGGGGAACAAAGAAACAGCTGCCGTGAGATAAATGCATTTAAACATGGCTGAAAGCCATTCCCTGATAGAAATGGCAACATTTTAGCCACCAAAACTAAACTAAAAGCTTACCTCAGAGTAGGGTGGAGGGGGTCGGAAGCGGAACTCCTGGATGTAGGCGAATAGCGGGCCATCAAAGTTCTCCCGCCCTGACGACACTTCCAGACAGCTCGGTCTCTGTTCTTCTGTGACCACCTCTGCATAGGCTGGAGGAGCTGCGTACAGCAAAAGCAATATATTTTGGTACCATGTCAACCACGTTATCCGTTTTTTTTTTTTCTTGGCACAAAATGTGATCTCCACATCCTCTTTTGGGTTCTTATTCGAAGGAGCTGTAAGCAACACGTTAGAAGACTTCTACAGTCTTTCCTATACGTGTAATCTGAAAAAGGACAGATTAAAATCCCATGGCCTCCATAAATGCTGCATCTTTGCTATTCATATATTGCAAACATCTCTCAAAACAAGTGGTACTAATCGATTGTTCCTTACCTTCAGGCCTCTCAGGGAGGCCTAACCAGCTCATGGTCATGCTGCATTGACTGCTCACAGAAGATGTCCGGCTACCAAAGGGGTGGAGAGGGATGGTGCCAACCACCAGGGGCAGGTTTAAAGACAGGTTCATGGCTCCTGGGATGTCTACATACACCTGAAGATAAAAACATTGGAATATTAGGTTAATCATTTCACAAACAGTGCACCTTGATTTGTAAATACGGCTTTTAGAACCATTCGGTTGTTAAGTCTGACATCAAGCGTCACTGTTTCTGGGTCCAAATGTTCCTTAAGATCCCAAAAGCAAACAAACGGTTCTAATATACAATCACAGTGTAGTGTAGGACTACTGAAAATCATGATCCTAACCTTTAACTTCATACTGAAATCTCAGTTGGCCAGATAGTAATTCATCTTTTCTTAATCGTTAATAAAATATTGGTGTCCAGGATTGTGAGTTTTTAGAGTGATAGGCTTGAAACAGTTTTCGATACATCGCAATTTAACAAGCAAATCCTGCTTAAACAAGTAGGGATGACCCATTCATTGAGTCAGCGTATTTTCAATCACTTAATCACTTTTCAATCTGCCAAAAGGCAAGAAACTAAAGAATTTGAAGGAGGCAATAAATATAACATTGCTTATGTATTCACAGCCTATGAATCAACATTTCCTCAGTAAACTTAGATATGAGTAGGTCCTGACCATTACACAAGAAAGGCACTAACAGATTGGTTTGAGAGGATAATAGGCCATTAACCCTCAATGGCCTGAATTTCATCAGATATTTTAGGCTGATCTTCTTATCAGTATGTGCAGGAGAGAACTTGCCATAATCTTGCGTAATCTTATTATCATTCATGGTGCTGCATCTGTGGAAGTGCAAGAAGAGCCTTCAAGGAAATTATCCTTCAGCTGCTTGAAATCGACATGGAAAGCTTTCGAATTACTGCATTGTTTGCATTTTGAAGCTATAAAGATGACCAGCACTTGTAGAGATGATCGGTAATCACATGTGCGCCCCAGCATACTTCAAAGTCAATACAAACTATAAAAGCACATAACTTACCATGAGTGAGTATTCCACTCTAATGATACTGCAGTCAAGGATGGAGGGTGATACAGGCGGGATCTTCAGCATCTTTCCATTCCACGTCTCCGTCTTGCCAGAAGAAAGTGACTCCCCTCGGATGTTGGCCACTAATTGTTTTATCTCCTTCATCTTCCCTTTGGCAAAGAAGGTCTGTGTTTGGTAAATGGCGGCCTTTGGCACAACCATACGTGAGGAGCAGTTTTCAATTTCAGCAAAGATCTGAATGGACTCTCCTGCATAAAGACATTATATAATGTTAATGGTACAAAATAGTGTGAAGGGTAACATGTAGAGCTGCAACAACTAACTGATTAAATTGATAATAAAAATAATTTGAAATAAATTTGATTATTGCCAGTCACGTTGCTTTACAATAGTGAATAATGCATTCTGGCCATGAGAATACATTAAAGGTAAAGTTTAAAGGTAATGTTAAGTTTAAAGGTTAAAGTTAAGTTCACACAAAAATGTACATTTTGTCATAATTTATTCACCCTCATGTTGTTCCGAACCTGTATGAATTTCTCTCTTCTGTTGAACACAAAAGAAGATATTTTGTTCAACAGAAGAAATTCATACAGGTTCGGAACAAGTTGAGGGTAAGTAAATTATGACAGCCTTTTTATTTTTGGGTGAACTATCCCCTTAAGAGCTTCAAACAAAAGTTTGGAGTTTAATGTGGCTTTCCCTGTCAGATGCTTTTTAAAAATCTGATTAACTGAAAAATAAATCAACAGATTCATTGATTATCAAAATAATCACTGGTTGCAGCACTAGTATCATGTAAATGTATAGTTGGGTCCAAATGTCTAGTGAAAATGTTAACTGATTGAAGACTTACCTGGAGTATAACCCTTCCGTTCAATTTTGGCACTTAAGGAAATTGGACCTGAGGTGCAAAACCAGCAGCACAGCGTCTTTTCTTTAGTTCCTGCCTGAGGAGACTATGCAAAGTAGAATAACAAAACTTTAAAATTCAAGAACCTTAACTGGACATTCTTCAACACTGCATTGATGAATCAGTGATAAATCGAGGGATGATTTTACATGGGAATGAATTTCTTTGAAATTACAACAGGCATGCAACTAACAAGGTCATAACATGCACTACTTGATCTGTATACAAAGGCAACATAAGGCAAATATCGACTAGCTTAGCCTACTAGAAGCCACCTCAGGCTAACAAACATTCTCAACAAAAATAACACAATAATATGTAAAAGTTATTATACATAGGATGTATTAATGTCACGTTTTCCACTGGGTTAAGCAAACTTTCACACTTGTAATTTTGTAACCCTGTGTTTTGATACCAACGACGGTACAGTGGGGAACAACAAACAATGCGGTGGTAGAACGTTTAGAGCAAAGTTGTTTGGCAACAGACGACCAATAAACTGCCTTGGCGCTTAGCTCATTAAATATTCATGAGCTCCGTGCAGAGACTGTGAAAAAAGCGCTGTACGAGAACATTAAAAATGTCAAACAATTAATTGCGTTAACTGGAGTGAAAAGAGACAGTTGTTTTTGATTTTGTACGTTAAACGTGACTTAAAAAGTAGGCAACATAAGGCAAATATCGACTAGCTTAGCCTACTAGAAGCCACCTCAGGCTAACAAAACATTCTCAACAAAAATAACACAATAATATGTAAAAGTTATTATACATAGGATGTATTAATGTCACGTTTTCCACTGGGTTAAGCAAACTTTCACACTTGTAATTTTGTAACCCTGTGTTTTGATACCAACGACGGTACAGTGGGGAACAACAAACAATGCGGTGGTAGAACGTTAGAGCAAAGTTGTTTGGCAACAGACGACCAATAAACTGCCTTGGCGCTTAGCTCATTAAATATTCATGAGCTCCGTGCAGAGACTGTGAAAAAAGCGCTGTACGACAACATTAAAAATGTCAAACAATTAATTGCGTTAACTGGAGTGAAAAGAGACAGTTGTTTTTGATTGTTACAATGAAGCTCTTCACCTTTCCTAGCACCATGGTGGCAAGAAAATAAAATGTACAAAGTTCTATAGACAAAACAAAATCACAAGGAAAAGTCTATGAAAATAATCTCTTATGAAAAAAGCGAGAGTTAACACTGGATAGTGTCATTGAGATGCGAGAGCTGAATAACAGCAAAAGATGCTGTTATCGCGTCTCGGTGAAGGCTTGATGGTCTGCAATGAAAGACAGCGAAATGTCGCCACCGGCTCACTTTAAGCGCTGCTCTTGTGAAAAACAAGTCACTGCGCATGCGCGCGGCACCTATCCGTCCGCCTTCTTCCGCTTTTTGTGCAGCTCTTTGACCGGGACTCAGGAGACAAATAATAGCGAACAGCTGAGCAGTGTATTAAAAGAATACGTGGAAGTCTAGACGTTTTTCGCACGTTTATGTAGAGCCCCACATTCATATTTGAACAGTTTGGTTATAGAGTAACATGCTTGTTAAGTTCATTTGGACTTCGGTTACCCAATGGAGCTGCACAACAGGAACATAAGTAGATTAGACCGTTTATTTATTTTTTTCCAATATATTAGGACTCAAATAATACAGTTGCTTTTTATTTTTTTAAAAAAAAGGCTTTAACGTTTGCATCCGAATGCAAATATGGTTTTAGATCCTTGACTTTACCTGGAGGTCATGCTGCCATGTTAGGCTACATGAGGTGATGTGTTGCCAGTTGGTACGAGTTTTTATATCATAGTATATGTCACTTGAACTGAGTTTTTGCAGGAACCCCCTTTTAAATAACTAATCTAATTTCATAATTCCAGTTTAAATGGATTTGTGTTAAACGTTGTGTAAATACTGTTTTCCATGCAGAATCAATACCAGCCTTGATGGCATAAGGAGAAGGAGAAAGAATACTGAGATCAGTATTATAGAGGATGAGGTTGATTTTCATAATTTCACATGCAGATTTATCTGCTATGCAAGTTGTCAAAAACTGATGCGCCTCCCAGCGGCTGCACAAACTCTGGTCCTTCTGTGTCTTGCTTCAGTCGCTTGTGTGCCTAGTAGGGGGAACGAGTTACGCTGGTTTCTGCTTCCCTCTAGGGGTTTGTTGGAGAACAGTAACTTAAAACCATTAACACCCCTGCCGAAAATTCTAGGCAATAATGTGATGATTTTGCTGGTTGGAGCGGAATTATGTTGTTTACATTTATTTACTTTTATAAACAGATAGTTTTGTTTTAGTGTGACTTCAGTAAAGTCACAATAAATGTCAAATTACAGGTCTCCTGAGAAAAGTTACTAAGATGTTAACGAGTAAAATTGTCTTTAGACATTGGTCTGTGCACAACTCATAACCGTTTTCAAAAATGAACTGTTTAAGACAAGTGTTAACTGGAAGCAATGTTGAAATGGCCAGGAGAGGCAAGTAAACATGGGTCAGGCTGATGTGTAGGAACTTTCCTTTGTGTGCAGTGGAGTTATGTTCAAATTCTCATTTGAATTTACCTAAAGCGAAACAGACGCATCCCCACCTAGTAAACTGTAAGACGTTTTGGATTTTCATGTCAAGATGTTTGAGAGTTCCAAGTTTTATTTTATTGGAGACAAATATGTAGGGGGTTAAGGTAAGGTGTCTGCTGATTTGTGTGTATGTTGTGAGTAAAAATGCGAGTTGTGATGTAGTAGTTTATCTTGGGTTTATTTGTGAGAATTTTAATCCATTACTCTTAACACAGTGGAGTAATTGTCTTTTATTTTCATAGATATTTGTACAGTCTTGTTACAGTCTTACTTGAAAGTTATGATCATAACTTTAGTAAAGAAACTCATACGGCGGTTACAGTCAATAATTATTGGATCATTGATGGAGGTTAAAAGCGCAAATGTAGTACTGAAAAGCTGCAATATATCCTGAAAAGAACACCGTATCAAAAAAACTGCAGTACTATTATCAACATAAGTTTTAATAGGAGTGATTAGAGTTTATAAGGCACAATAATAGGCACCATGACGTTCTTGACACAGCACATGTTTGGCTGGTGAAGAAGACTAAGGCGGCACATTAGGAGAGGATTCTTTAGTGCGTTGATTTGGATCATAAACTGGTGGAGAAGGAGCCGGATGGAAACCGGACTGGATGGCGTGTGGATTTGGATTTGGATAGACCCCTGCAGCAGCTCCTGGATGGGGCAGCACTGTAGGGTCGTACAGATTGGGGTAAAGCCCTGAAGGTGGAGGAGGTAGTTTACCAGGATAAGGCACAGGACTAGGCTGAGGTGGTGGATATGCCTGGAATCCTCTAGGTGGGCCTTGCCAGGGAGGACACTGTTGATCAGCTGGAAGAATTACAACAGGAAATGTGACTGCTGGATCTGATGCAAAAGACACATCCAGAGAGATCTGAAAGACAGTCATGTTTTTGCTTTACTCTTTTGTAGAAAGTCTTGTTAAGGTGTGAAATTAATGTTGTTATATACGTTCCACAAATTTTCCCATAAATTAAAAGGGACTTACAAATTACAGGGATAGTTTACTCAAAAATCACACACACACAAAAAACACACTGCTTGTTTCTTCTCCAGAACACAAAAGAAGATATTCTGAAGTGCTTAAAAATGTTTCAGCTGTTTGTCCATACATTGAGGCCTTTTTTTTTTAAATATCTTCTTTTGTATTCTGCAGAAAAATGAAAGTCATATTATAGATTTTAAATGACATGAGGGTAAATTAGCCTTTTGGGGTGAACTATTGCTTTAAATATAGCAATACTACAGAAGACAAAATAGCACCTTGAGTTCATACTGCACTTTTATAATTCTGCAGTTTTCAATGGTAACAGTCAGGTTACGTGGAAGCATCATGTCCACTGTGAATTTTGACTTTTCTCCAGATGGGATGCGATCTCTAGTCTCTTTGACTATATGCTTGAATCCTCTATTAGTGCTCCTGCCAGCGATGAACGTCTGTTGCTGCTTGAGGCTGTACTTTAGCTTGACATCACGAGATGAAGAGTTGTTAATATCGACAAAAACTCTGATCGTTTCACCTGCAACAATGATAAAAATTTGAGACATCAAAAATCAATAATAATAATAATAATAATACCGACTATAGTCAGTTTCATCCAAGTTGCAAATTGAATTGATGTAAAGAGTATTTACAGATAAATCAGTGTTTCCATCCAATGTGTTTAGGAGAACATGGTAGTCATGTCTGGAAGAATTGAAGTTGAATAATTTTGATGTCAGTCTTTTACTTGACTAGAAATGACTAGAGTTTTGAGATGCTATACAAAGCTCTGCTGTTATTTTTTTCTCTAAGCAAATTTAGTCCTATGAATTTTTTAATGTAGATTAATCAGTCTACTCAGCAAATTATTGACCTCAAGTGAGTGTATATGTTTGTTATGTGAATTTGGGAAATTTTATTTGCATGTTTCCTCAGAATTTTTATGCAGTATTTGAAAATGTGCATAGAAATATGTAAATGTAAACCCAACAATTGACATTACAGGCTAGTTTCTTCAGTTTAGACAGCTTTGAATGAGTCGCTTGAGAGCTACACATGACATCATCACCTTGCATATAGCCAGTTTTTTCAGATGTCACAGTCATTGACATTTTTCCTGAGCCAAAAAGTTTCATCTTCTTGTCTTGTGTGCCAGCTTGTGGTTGCTGTATGTAAAAAAGAAGAAGAAGAAAAAAGCATACTGAAATGAGCCAACTAAAATTACATTAGATTTCCTCTAAGCTCTAAATCACAAAGAAATGGTTTAAATCACATTACTTGAGTTCTGATGACAGTTTATAAAACAGATCCAGTCCTTGATACCTGTGACCTCATTACATCAGTATTACTGTGCCACTGCGTCTTTGTGTTACTTGGCAAACATTCTGCTTTTAGAATTACATTGCTTGGCTGGACGAATAATATGTATTATATTTGTTAATAATAACTGGTGCTGTGTGTTTCCTTTTCGCTACCGTTCGGACGTTCTTGCTTACTGCTCTGCACTTTGCTCCCTATTTCTGTACTTTTCTTTGATTTTTCTAAGATTTTTACTTCAG